GGGATAACCTTCAACAATGTCCAAACAAATCTGTTAGCTTGATTATCTGACTTGGCCTGAGCATTGGAGCTATTCTGGACAAATGTACCTTGAACAATTTTCTATGAGAAACTTATACAGGTTTCCCTTATTTGAAGATGTTTTTTCAGAAGAATTTTATCAGTACCAATATATGATTAAGGTGTTCTTAAGTCAAGCATCATTGATTTCCTTTCATTTCCCTTTCTCATTGATTTCCTTTCATTTCCCTTTCCTCCCAGAAATATCAGTTTCAGATTTTCACTGGATGATGACAAACTGAAGATAACTTGAAAAAAAAAAAAGAATTTTAATGGATCTCCTAATGGACATTGTTGGTCATAACTTCTATCGGGTTATTACCAATGAATACCTGGGGACAAATTCCTGTTTGCGGATCTTGGTTGTTCCCTGTTGTTAGTGATGTTCATTGCAATGATTGTGAAATTTGAATCAAAGCCCTATTGAACCCTAAAGGTCACTCCTGCAGTGATTCATCATCATCACAAAGTAGGCACAGGGCTTTTTTTTAAGAGTCATTGTCCTCACATATGTGAGTACAATTGCATGTTACAGAATTATCAGAGAAAGAACGAATATGGCCAGGATATAACAATTTACCCTAACTGTTTTAGTACCTCGAGACAGCCTTGGGGCAAGTTAGCCTTTGTGTAAGGCAGTACTAGGTACGCTGGTGTGTAAACCTGATCTTCAGGTTGGTTTTGAATCCAGTTTGCTGATTTGTGCCATAAGCCACTCAGCTGGGTCTTGGTAGACAGTGGCCTTCTTGCTTCGTTTTCACCAAAGCAATTCGGGCGAGATCAGACCTTGTGCTGTTTTGAAAGGTTTGGAATATTTCTCGATGCTGTTGGAGAAGCTGTTGCATGTCAATTCAGAGTACCATCTGGGGGAATTTCTAAATTGATAAGTGCATGCATGTACAGAAACTGCAGTACCTAGCTCTGGATAAAACAGAAGCAAACCGTTTCCCTATAGTTATTCAGGCTCGACATTAGAAAGAACTTCTTCACTGTTATAGTTGTTAGGCATTGGAACAGGCTCCCCAGGGAGGTGGTGGAGTCATCGTCCCTGGAGGTGTTCAAAAAACATTTAGATGTGGTGCTTTGAGACATGGTTTAGTAGACATGGTGGCGTCAGGTATACGGTTGGACTTGATGATCTTTGAGGTCTCTTCCAACCATAATGATTCTATGATTCTATGATTCTATGATTTGTAGGAGCACCCTAAAAAAAAAGTCCTGTCTGGAGGCAAAACAACTACATCCTCTGAGCAAAAACCAACCAGCATTAAAAACAAAAGTTTGGGTTTCACTGGAGACCCAGGCTATATTCACTGTGAGACTTAAATGAATGCAGTGATCAGTAGCAAACATCCCGCACACTAAGAAGTGACTATTTTTTACATGCTTTATCTGCTTCATGATGGCAACATGGTTTTCTTAACTTTGCTGTTAGGCTCTGATGCTTCTAAACTGTTATGCAAAATGCCGAAAGATCTGTCTCTGGTTATCTTAAGCCACAATTAAATTTTGTCTACCATCATAGGATAATTATAAGATCAGTGTGACACACAGGGATGTATAACTTCACAGATGAAGAGAACAGAGGGGAGAAATACGCCGTGAAGGGGAAAAGCTGTTCACATTAAAAGAATAAGGATCAGAAATCAAAACTCATCAAGTTATTGGCAAAATAGATGATTAATTTTATATACATCTCTTTCCCCACCCTTCCATCCACATGACAATCTTCTCTTTAATGTGTTAAAACTCAAAAGATCAGTAAGGTCTGGGAAGGAGCATGGTATGAGCTCAAAGCTTAGAGCAGCAATTGTCTTGTGATAAAAGAGCAGAGCTCATTAATCAGAGACGGTTTAGGTACTAAGAACACATTTGTCCCTGCACTGCTGTGGCATAACGAGAATCACCATACTGTACAAATACTTGTTTAGCGTCTGAACAACTGTTGTTTAAAGTGGAGACATAAGGCTGCCTTTAGGTCATTAAATAACATAACTGAGAAACAGAGTAGGTACCCTCTTGAGTTATAATGAATGATCTTGTGTGATGCAGTATGTACAGAAATCCAGGCGGAACAAAGAGTAGTATTGAGCAAAATATGCTTTCAACCATGTGGTGACGTAAGTCATAGTTCGTCTCCCTGAGCATTTACAGACTTTGCAGTATTTGGAACTAAGCATCCTGTATAATAGCAACATATTAATCTCTGCAGCCCAGTCTATAAGATTTGACTAGTGTTCTAACAACACAGGATGAATTAACATATGCACCTGTGTAATGTTTGCTCTATGCACTTAGTGATAACGCACTGCAGCAGCAATTTGAAGAAAAAAAAGACTGAATACAAATGCAAAAAAATGAACTGCCGGTATATGAATTGACTTAAAGCAATGAGAAAGTAAGTAAAAAATTACCAAATGCATAAATTTCAGTTATTAAATGCACTACTGTTTATTTTTTAGCTGTTCTATATTTCAGACAGCAATGGTCTGAGACACTGAATCAGTTGAGAGCTTAACAAAGCTATGGGGAAATGGTTCATCTATGGCATTAAAATTACTATTACAGACAGAGAGGCTAGAAGTTCCTGGCTCAGATACTAACACGTGAACATATGGGTTCAACCTCACTAGAAACTGTAAGAGAGAATTATTTTCCTTCCATCCACTTCACTAGACTTACACAGGACTTAATTTGACCCAAAATCTCTTCTTAAAAAGGAGAACTGGGATAGCCATGTAATCTGCCTCTCTGAGGATCTGTACGTGCAGAGTGCCTTAACTGTGAGAAATAACAAGGAACTAAAACAATCTCATTTTTTTTCAGACATCATCACCCCACGGGAGTAGAACCTGACTTTTTCCCTTTCAATGACCTCCAATGCAACTCATATTGTGACTCTTCTTTTTCTGTATGTAGGTCTTGCCTGCATTTCAATTATATTTTACATAAATTTTGCATTAGGATAGCAGTAGTTCTTTTAAAATAATAATAGAACAAAGTTTTAATGAAGGTACTTCCACAGCAACAATGACAGTCAAAAAAAACCCCACCTCTAAAAAAACCCTACCAATATCGCTTGCTAAATATGTACTTTATAAGCATGAATGACTTGCTTCTAAACCTGGTAAATTGGAGTGCAGCATTCACAACTCCTACAACTTGTCAAGCCCGCCCGTGGTTAGAAAAGTCTAGGGTACATTATCCCAATTTGTATTTTTGAGAGAGAGTTATATTTCTAGTTATCATGGAGAAGACAACAGTAACTTGACTTTAAATGTGAAATGAAATGCCCACCCACCACCACCAAAGACAGCCTCCTCAAATTGCCCAGCACGGGATGTCAAGCTAGTGACACCGTTATAAGATCAGCTTTGGGACTCACAAGCTTCGGTACTTCCAGAAACATACTGTTGCCAACAACTGCAAATAAACTGTAGGCAGACAACCTGGCATTGTCACGGTCAGAAATCAGATGGGGTGAAGGTTGGACTGGTCTCTCACTGGAGAGTCAGAAGTGCATAATTTGGACAGGCACAAGGACACCTTGCCGGAATTTGATTTCCTTATGAACGTCACTTAGCTTTATCTTCCTTCTGACTGGAGGGTTTTTTTGAACCACAGAATGTTATTCTGTGAAGGAAGGTTGATGAAGTGATAGTATCAGCAGGAGAAGATAAGGTATTGTCCTAGGGACTAATTGCACAGCTTGACTTGCTAATTTGTTAGAATAGATGAAAATTCCCTACAAAGGGGGACACAAGCTTAAAACTGCTGGTAGATTTTTCTACCTAATTCTTGAATAATAACACAAATCAGAGACAATTGTGATCTAATTGTAGACAATTTGTTAGTCAAAAAAATTGTTGAACAAATTGTTCTTTCTAGTACGTAAATTAAAGTTAAAATACACACACACCCGCCCGAGAAGATTATTCCTGAGATATTTATGAATGTTGGATATCTGAAAAGCACTAAAAATAAAATGGAAAAACAATGACTTACAAAATCTCTCCTTTTAAATACGTAGCTACATGAAACTTGGTCCTTAAGCAACCTGATCTAAGATTGAAGTCAGCCCTGCTTTGAGCAGGGAGTTGGACAAGGTGATCTCCAGAGGTCCTTTCAACCCAAGTAGTCCTTGGATTCTATTAAATGCCCATAATTAACAAGGTTGTGTCAGACTACTTCAAACCTAAAAATCCATCTCAGGTCTAACAGCAGAGATGGGCTCAGACTCTAGTGGAAAGGGCTGAATTCCCCTCTGAGCACCACAGCTTATCCTCAACCTCAGGTTGCCCCATTGGACCCCGACTGCGTTGTCCTCGCTTTCCACCCAACCCTGTAACAGCACAGGGTTTTGGTTTTAGCTCCTATTCATTTGCAAGCACCAAGTGGATGCGCAGCCCCTGAACAGTCTGAACCGTAACGGAACAGGATCCTGCGTGACAAATGAAGGCAGTCAGAATGAGGGCACAACAGGGAGCCTGTCCTCCCTCTTCCTCATTTCCCTCTGACTCAAACACATCCCTGTGAAGACGACAGCACGCTTCCATCTGCTGATGGAGCTGCTCTCTTCTCCTGCCACCCTCCCTCTGCCAACAGATGTGCTTGCATGAGGATGGCACACTCCAGAAGGCAGACGTTCCTGGATTTTAATCCCCCTAAATTCTCTGATAGATTAAACCTCAAATCTCTAACCCTCCTTCTTAATGCTGCAGTTAGTAACACACATATTGGTTACACTGATTTACAGCTGGAATAAAAGCGAAAGACAGTCAAAATTAAATGTCTGAAAATCAATCTCTGCTGCAAGTCGATGGGACACTAAAGAATTCTGGATTATTTTCTCCACCCTTCACTCTGCCCAGTGCCTGATGAGGCAAAAATCACTGTCAGCAGCAATAAATGTTGCAGGTACACATGATACCCTCCACCTACCTGTAACCCTTCAATGGCCAGTTTGAGGATAGACGGCGTAAGCTTGGAGGCTTGCTTGAAGGAGAAGTTGCTCCAATCTATAATTAGAATGAAGCCATTTATCTGAAGCTCCTGGTCTTCGATGAGCACTTCCAAGGACAGTAGGATAGCCCGAAGGATGTCTATGAAGGAGTTCCTAAAGCCAAAGCAGAAAAAAAAGAACAAAGGTTGCAGTTATCTTCAAACCTCAAGATACTTTGCTGTGGATGGGGCATGAATGAGGGACGGGGATTTATTCTGGTAGAATTCTTCTGAAGAGAGAGTTGTTTCAGAGGTGTCACTACAGACCTCCTGCTCTGAAACTCACATTCCTCTGCTTGGTGTGATAAGTCCTGCTCACTGGTGGATAAAATAAACCCTGAATGAAATCTTTTTTCCTTACAATAGATAGTAGCTAAGCTACTTTAGGAAAATATTTATCTGTGGTGAAATGAGATTCAAGCTATCAGTTTAAGCCCCTGCTCCTTTGGATATATTTTACCAGTTTTTTTGTTTGTTTTCATTTGGTTGGGGTTTTTTCCTCCTTTTTTTTTTTTTTTTTTTTTCTGTTATAAAGAGGAAAATCACAAAAGGAAATAAATCGGTACAATATTATTATAAATGGTACGGTTACAGCTAGGCTCCCTGGCTTCCTCCTTCAGTGGAGGGAATGATGCAAGGCTTTGCACAACAAAGTTTGACTGTTGCCTTATTTCTGCGAACCAAATGCAACATGAAAAATAGCTGCACCCACTCAAAATGGGAACTCGTTATTAATTAGCAGCTACCAACAGGCTGGCTGCAAGGCTTCCCTCAGCTCTGGGAGAATAATTAGAAACCTTGGAGGCCCTGAAGGAGATAGCAAGTGACAGAGAAAAAAAAATGTTGAAATGTTTTCTTTAATGTGAAAGTCTGTACTGAGAAGCCTGGGCCGCTCTCTAATTCCATCTCATGCATTTTACAAAAGCAAGAGTTGGACATTTTAATGACTTATTCCATATTTACACCTGAGTAAGCTGAATCAGGCCCTCTCCTCATCTTTCCTTCCTATTAAGATGATTTAGAAACAACAGATTCTTTTAGAGAGCAACCAGCAAGGAAAGCTTCAGAAAGCACAACTTAACCTTGCGTAAAATGAAATTGTGACATACTGCTGTAGAGGTCTGCTTTACCTCTGCATAATTCTCAAATTTTGCTGAGGCCTGAGGTCTGTTATAGGGAAGGTTCACACCATGTTCTCCCATGGAGATTTTCATTTAACCCTTTTCTGCTGTTTTCTTTAATTTAAAACAAGTCGTCTAAGCCTACAAGGGCGTTGTTTCAAATTCTACCTCGGAGAAAAAAAGCCTATGAGCAGTCAAAACAAACTTCTCTGCCATCAAGACCTCTGCCCCTGAACGGCAGCAACACATGATAAAGTTCTATAAGAAGTAAATGCTGAAGTGTTTTCTTATCCTTTCTCGTTTCTCTCAGCAGGATTCGAATGGAAATGTACATTCCTTCTCTAAAGACACAGTCCTTTGAAAAAGCTGTTTCTGAGCTGTGAGTTGCAAAAGTTAGAAGCTTCTCTGAAGTAGAATTGCTGAGGCGAGTTGCAATACATAGAGCCTAAAGGTATTTTACTCAGTTGCTGCTGGGTACCAGACCACCCCTCCCTCATTTGCAGCAACAGGACAACCCTGACTTTTTCAAATCCTATGGGGAAGCTGTGCTAAACAGACAAACGGAAGGAGTTCTTTTCTTAGCAGTGTAAGGTGGAGGCATACTGATTGGACTGGCAACCGACATTTGGTTTTAGTCTAAATTTATTTCAAAAAAACTGTGATAGGGTTATACTACCCACTGCCCAGCTGAAACAGGTGATGACTTTCAAGCAGTAGCATCAGATTACTAACCTTTCAGTGATGAAAAAAGCGAGTGCACCCCAAGACCATAGCTACTTAATATATCCTAGACTACTCTACCTCAGCATCCCTCTTCAAGGGGGTCAGCCTTCCACAAGAACTTCCCTGTGGAAGCTCCCAGAGCTGTGCAGTGGCTCCAAATGTGTCCTCACACACATGCCAACCTTCTCTACTCTCTTGTTGGCATCAACACAGCCTGATGTCATCATTCATGGATGGACTCTTCAGCTAGATTGGGGAAGACAGACTAATCCAGAGCTCAATTTGACCCCACATTGGCAAACCTTAAAATGAACCGAATACTTGTTATTACTGAAGGTGCGAAAACAGGGCCATATTGGGATAAGAAAAGATTTCATCCTTCATTTGTGGGAAGAAGTTTGCTTAATAGAACATCCAAACTGATATTAATGATCCTTCTACCTCTGGTGCTTTTAAAGGCTGTATAATGATTTCAGTGGGGCTGTGTGCAAAGAGTGCGTACAAATCCACTTAAACTCTAAATCACAATGAAACATTTCATTTGATTGAGTGCAAACTCTTCCTCTCAGACTCCGTGCTGAGGAATTCCAGTTGTTCTTTGAGTGTCTACATAAATTACCAGGTTATCAAGCAATTACTCACCTGTACTTCCCTGTACTTTACTATTTGCCTGGGAGATAGGGCACCCAGTTTTCTTAGTGTGGCTGTCCCCTGCCCAGATCCCTCCCCCCATATGTATTTGCAGTTTGAAGACACGGTGTAGGAAATAACTTAAAGTAACACAAAGAGGTTTTTCAGATGAGTGCAAGGAGACACGAAAGCAGCACACAAGTCCTCCAGGTGGGCTGTTTGCAGGCACGCTGATTTGTGAATGCAGGGTCTGGATAGAAATCAGACAGAGTGCCACTTGAGGCTGGAGCCCTCTGCTCCCTAATCTTGAGGCTTTGAGACAAACCATTCAGCTGTGTGACTGATTTGCATCCAAACCATTTTCTATACATGAACACAGAACCACTTTCTATTAGTCCATCTCTTTTGTTCCTTTGCTTAATGTTCCCTTCCCTCCTCCAACACCCCTCCCCAGTAGTTTAACCCTCTCACACACACAAAAAAAAGTGAAATAAATTACTATTACACAAAGGGGAAATGTGTAAGGTGCCGTAAGGATTCAGCGTGGAGCCTACTGAAGCGAGCCACTAATGAGTTACAAAAGATTTGCACAAGGCCCAGAAAGACAAAAAGGAGGAGGGAGGGAGAATGCCTATCCGCCTTGGCTGAATGGAGAGGTACCGCAAAAGAGGCTCTTCGAATATCCTTTGGAAAATGGGAAGTTAGCCCAACAGAAGCTAGTGGTAGGGAACAATAATGTAAAACAAAAATGAAGATGGTTTAGCTGAGGGATTTGGTGGGGAGATTAGCCAAAGGCATAACATGAAAATAAATAAGAAGAAATTACTTAATTATAAGAGGCGTAAGCAGGCTGTGAGAGAATCAAAAGGCTCAGTGGAGTACCAGGGTGCAATGGGAACAATTAAAGGGGATAAAGACATTGCAGGGAAATTAAATGATCTATTTGCATGTCTCTGCCACCAGTCATTTTGAAGAGATACATGGATAATAAAGCTGAGGGACTGTTGGAAAGGAAGGGGTCAAATAAGACATGCTGCAAGAAAGTGATACATTTTGGAGAAGATAGCATCCGTAAAGGTTTTTGACATTACTGTCTCTGAACAGTTAACCACAGGCTCTGTTTTAGGCATGCCAGTGACATTAATTGGATTATTCAGATGGTTAAAAGCATGAATGTACACAAGTACTGGCAGTTGAAGCCATTAAGACTGTCTGGTAGTAAGCAAAACCAAACTGTCACTAAAAATCCGGACCGTCCCACAAGACAGCAGACCAACAAAGTTTGGACCACTGTCATTATCTTGGCAGATGCGAACAACTCAACTTAACATCCCTAAGTTAGTATGCGGTAAGAGCCTCTCTCCTGTAATACTTAAAAAGTGACCAAAGTTGAATAACATTTAGCAATCTGCAAACATGGCATAGATACAAATCAGGTAAGAGACCACATCTTGCTTTGTTCCCTCCCCACACAGTAAATCACCAACGGAGAGCAGAAATGAACACTTAGCTTCTAGTGGGAGAAGAGCTGGCACGGCTCTGCAAGGAGAATTCCCACTGGGAGTAAGGCACGGAAGAGGAAGCAGAAAGAAGCAGGATCTGAAAAATACCTTCAAGTTGCCCCAAACTGTTTGAGCTAATCAAAGCTGAAGAAGCTGCCTGCACCTCGAATCCTGTGTTCAGTTTTGGGCCCCTCACTACAAGAAAGCCCTTGAGGTGCTGGAGCGAGTCCAGAGAAGGGCAACGAAGGTGGTGAAGGGTCTGGAGCACAAGTCTGATGGGGAGCGGCTGAGGGAGCTGGGGGGGTTTGGTCTGGAGAAGAGGAGGCTGAGGGGAGACCTGATCGCTCTCTACAACGACCTGACAGGAGGGTGTAGCAAGGTGGGGGTTGGCCTCTTCTCCCAAGTAACCAGTGACAGGACAAGACGAAACGACCTCAAGTTGCACCAGGGGAGGTTTAGATTGGCTATTAGGAAGAATTTCTTCACCCAAAGGGTTGTCAAGCACTGGAAGATGCTGCCCAGACAGGTGGTGGAGTCACCATCCCTGGAGGTATTTAAAAGCCATGTAGACGTGGTGCTTAGGGATATGGTTTAGCGGTGGGCTTGGCAGTGCTAGGTTTATGATTGGACTTCATGGTCTTAAGGGTCTTTTCCAACCTAAATGATTCTATGATTCTGTGGTTCTATGAAAGGCTTAGAAAGGGAGATGTGAATAACACAGCAGATCAATGCTGGTGGAGGAGGGAGAACCCAGGAAGGAGCGTTTGCAATTGTTCCAACACACAGCCAAGGTATGCTGTTCATGGAAAAGCCCTTGGAATCCAGTCAGCATTGGGTTTTGAACCTGTGTTCATAAATCATATGAAGTCATTTATTTCAGCAGATTAAATTCTCCTTTCCACTCATGAAGTATTGATAAGAAAGCCCCAACTTCCGTTAATATGTTCTTAGAAAACATCTGGGTTTTTTAATGCATGTTTTTATTTTAGAAATTTCAGGCTCACCTCTGCTGAAAAAAGCACTGGAAATTACTGACAGACAGTCCTTGGGGATTCGTGTCTTGATTCACACTCATGCTCATGAGTAGCTACCCTGCCTCTCTGGCATCAGAGGGAAATGGCAGTCAGTCCAACCACTGC